TTCGTATTCATTACTGTCATGTCTGTTTCAGCAAGACCAATATCATAAGTTAGACTATCTTTATTTATTTATTTATTTTTTATATCTAAATGGTTTTAATTTAAAAAAAAATTAATTTGATATGAACTATTCCAATCTTTTCATCAAATTTTTATCAATATCTTTTTGAAATTCTCCTCTTTTTTTAAATTTCTCTTTTCATTAAAATTTGATGGGAAAAAAAAATCATCTCCAAGGTTTTTATCTTCTAAACTTTTCATCAAATAATTTAATAAAAATATATTTCTCTCTTAATTTGATGAACATTTAATAAAAGATTTAAAGATCATTTTTGCATACTTTTTCATTAAAGTTAAATTTAACTAAATTAAAAATTAAAAAATCGAGATGCTCTTACACCAAATTAGGATTCATAATTATCCAACCTCTTTCATCCGTGTTATGTATGAGTTGTGTTTCCCTTGCAATCTACATCTAAAGAATTAGATTGTTTCCATGCAAGATTTGGACTGCACCAGCTTAATTTCGATTAGTTGGCTAGTCTTAGGTCTCACTTTAATAATTTGAAACATTAATTTTTAAAATTTGTATTTTTAGATCATTCATATATATACAAATTAATTTGATAATTGTAATCAGGTAATTTTAAATTTTTTTTATTGAAATATGAAAAAAAAAAATTAGTACATTTTTTTTTCCATATTTCATTAAGTTTTCAAACTCAAACAATATTTTTTGAAATAATTTAATTTTAACATTCTACTTATCTACATTTTTTAAAAAATATTTATATATAAAAAAAATGAACAATAAGAAAATATGTGAGTTTGTGTGTATGTTTAGAGCTTAAACTAAAATATTTGTTAAAAAGCCAAAAATCATTTTCAATTAAATTTTGACAATGGTATAAATTGAAATTATTATTAAAAATGACAAAATCATTTAAAATACTTCAAGACACCCCAAATAATAATAATAATCCATGTATAATGGATTAATTAAGCGGGTTTGAAATTTAAAAATCTTTTTAGGGTCGGATTTAGGATGTCTATATTAATCCTGATATTGTGTTGGGGTTAAGTAGACATATAATTTTTCTGTGCAATTCAACTCAATATGACTCTAGCTCGCCTATACAAAATATACTTAGTAGACAATTCCCCTAACCAATATAGAATATAACAATTTTTAATGAAATTTGATATTCTTTTAATAATTAAATTTTAATAGTTAGTTTAAAATGATTGAACTATTTTTGGTTTAATAGAAATTGTTTTATATAGTTTAAATAAATATGATGAATTTTTTTTATTTCATAATATTTTGTATTTAAAAAAAAAAATCATTTTGTGCATAGCACGAGTTTGTTGCTAGTAGATATATCCGTAAAGTGATTTTTCATATGAGAGAATTTAGGGGCTTTAAAGTATTAATATAAATTTTACAAATTATTTCATTTTTAAAGTTCATAAATAAAACTATTGATTCATCTAAATATATCTATAATTTTAAAATTTTAAAATCTTTATATAGTGATAACAAATTAGTCATAACTTTTAGCCATATCTATGTCACATTAAATTTAAAATTTGGGAATCTATTCCAAATGAAATTTTAATAATAAATAACCGTATCAACATAGCAATTCTTTAACACGGATTGGCCACTAATTTAGAAACTTATAAATACTTACTTGTTAAAAAATTTTATTTAATAGAATTAATTAAAAAATGAAATTTATAATTGTTTTTCTTGTACGATAATGAAATTTCTTCAATTATTAATTTAAATATATATATTTTTTTAAATTATTAAAAACTGTTAATTTACTTAATGATTTATTAATAATAGGGTCATATGTTATGAAATTAAAAACTTCAAAGGGTAGGATGTAATTTTCTAAACTATAGAGAGCAATTCGTATGTTAAACATGTCTCAAGGGGTATATTTGTAATTTAATTGTTTTTGTTTTGTTTTATTTTGTTTTTTCGTACCAAAATAAACATAAATTGCATTTTGCATGTTAAGATTAATAAAAGGAGAAAAAAAAAAAAAAAAAGGCAGACTAACCAGCAACAAGAAAATGGGAAGTCCTAGCTAGTTCCCTTGAAGCCACCTGATGAAAAGGCAGTAGAAGCATAACAATCAACATTGCATCCAAAACAGCTAATAAAATCTTCCTACAACCCATTTTTTGGAATAGACAGGAAATATGTTTTGGGATCCATATTTATAATCCGAAATGTATAGTGGTTGGCTCTCAATTTTCAAACGAATCAAATGACTTTTCTCATATGAAGAACTTAAATCACAATATAGAATTTAAAAAAAATATTTCTTGTCCATTACTCCTAAGAAATTGTTGACTCGTCCGGATAGCATTTAAAGATAACAGAGAAAGGAGAGGTGAGATATTAGAGTCGGATAGAGACTTAAGGCACTAGAAACTATCCAATACCAAACTTTGATACCATATTAAAGTATCTAACTCAAAATTAATTAGTAATGTGTGGAGGAACCTCTCAAATATATTAATTAAGTTTGGATAACTTAGAAGAAGATATGAGAATAGTCTAATAATAGATGTGTGTTTACTCAATGATATATATAATGTGGTCATTTTGTTTTTATTTTTCTTGAAAAATTGTCACATCCCTTGCTATTTATTATCGGAAATTGTCACATCCTTTGCTATTTATTATTGGGTGGATACTGGCTACATGATGTTTTCAATCACTAATAATAAGAATCAGGAATTTGGAGAAAAAAAAATGTCAAAAAAATAATGTAAGATCAAAATTCATTCAAAATGCAAGTCTCATCGTACCAATATTGATTTAAACTAAATATTATTTTTGTGAATTTATTTATTTATTTATTATTTTATCGTTAGATAACTTGTTAACATTGGATAACTTGTCAATTTGTTTTATTGACCGATTGATGGTCAACAATAATCACACCACTTCCTAATTTTGATGGTTAAGGGATTGCATTGCCTTAAGGATGAATGAAGGAGGGTGGAATCCGGTTCTCAAAAAACGGAGGATGGGTCTGCAAACTAGTCGATCAAGGATGAATGACTTGGTCTCTCTTTTCGTGGATGAAGTACCAGAGGCTATGACCCCTTCAGATCTATTTAATCTGTTCAGCAAAGTTTGGAGTTGTGAAGGATGCCTTCATACCATTGAAAAGGAGGAAAACTACAAGATCAAGATTTGGATTTGTTAGGTACGATTGCAAGGTGGCCGCAGAGGTGACAGTGAGAAAAACTGATGGCTTATGGTGTCATAACAGGGCCTTGAGAGTAAAGTTGGCTGAGTACAGCAAGTACAATCAAAGTAGACAGATGCTAACAAATGCTAAGCAGGGAGGCATGGCGCAGAAGAAGCAGTGGACCCCCATCCAACCTATGATTGGAATCAAAGGTAAGTCATACGCAGAAGTAGTTCAAACTGGAGGTAAAAATGGTGGAGAATATGGAAAACAAAACGTCTCAATTAGAGCTGTTGAGGCTGGGAATGGGTGGTTATATGATAGTGTTCTGGTCAAGCTCAAAGCATTTTTTTCCTTTCATGACTTTCAAAAGGAGATCTATAAGAGGACTGGTAAGGAAGTAGTAGTTAGACAAGCAGGAGGAAGGTTAGCAATTTTATCATTCAGCTCCAACCATCAGATGAAGGAAGAAAGAGCAAAAATGGAGGAGTGGATTCATGACTGGAGTGATGAAGTATTTGAATGGGAAGAAGGGAAGTTTGTGGAATGTGACAGATGTATCTGGCTCACTTGTGTGGGAGTTCCTCTCAATCTCTGGAGTATCAAAACTTTTGAAGCCATTGGCAAGGTATGGGGAGAAGTGGTTCAGTATGATGAAGATACAGTGGGAGGCCAACACTTTATGTTCGGTAAAGTTAGGAATATTACAAAAAGGATGGAGCCCATTAATACGGTAATTAATCTAGTAGGAAATTTGAGGGATTATCAAGTGCGAGTGTTTGAAGAGCCCTTAGTCAGTATCTGTCAATGCAATGGTGAATATAGCTGCCAGAAAAATGAAGTAATGGAATCCAATATGCACAATGAGAGTGAACACTTGTCCAAATGCAGGCGTCAAGTTGATCATGTTCATCCAGAGGTAGCTGTTAATGGTGTTAAAGGTGGGGATGAAGGTGAAGTCGGTTCAGTTGCAGAGAAGGACAATGATGATGATGTGGCACAAACTGATGACATGTCAATCAATGGAACACACACAGCCGAAAGAGCTTTAGTAGCTGTGGATGGAGGCTATCATTGTATGTCTGGAGTAGCTGATAAAGTAACTGAGCGTGTTCTAAGGAAAGAAAGAATGGTGCAGGCGGTCTGCTCAAGGGCTGTGGAGAATGGGATAAAGCAACGGGTGGAAAATCTGGAATGTAATAAAGGTATTATGTATAGTTCAACTGGGTTGGAGTGTGGCAGGCCCAACATAAATCTAGAAGTGGTGCTACATGGAGCCCAAGTTCAGCCTATAATTAATGGGCCAAGATGGGAAGTTAATTCTAATTTAAGTGACTGCATAGCCCAGTCACAGTTTATGGCGGTAGGAGAAGCTGTAGCCCAGAAAGTTAATCACGAGAAGGGGGGCCCATCTCAGCAAGCTCAGGCTAGATCAAAAAGGAAGTCTGACCTGAAGAGGAAAGGCAGTGAAAAGGGGAAAGAAAGAATGAAGCAGGGTGGCCAACCAAAACAGAAAGGGATCCTATTCAGCAACTGTCTCAGAGGTGGAGTGATCCTTCGAGCGGCAGCAGCTGCTATGTCTCTACAAGTGTCACAAAGCAGCAGTTCCCAAAGGAGAAGAAAGATACTCAAGGAAGCCCAAACTACGATTGAGGTCGGGAAGGCATTAGGGCTAAACTGTGAAGGGAAGGAAGAGCAAGTAGTGGCCAAAATAATGGAGCTGGAGGAGAAAGATTTGGAAAGAGCAAAAGGAAGGGTAAAGGCAGATTAAGCTACTGGAAAAATGAAGGAGAATAGAGGCTGCGTTGAAGATTTTTTAATGGAGATCATGTCATGGAATGTTAGGGGTCTTAGAAGACCTGAACAAAGGAGTAGAATTAAGGCTTTGGTGAGAGCAAAATTAGTAGATGTTTTGATGCTGCAGGAGACTAAGAGAGAAGCTATTGATGGTAATTTTGTTAAGTCCTTATGGCCTGTGGATGATATGGGTTTTATGGAGGTGGGTTCAGAAGGAAGTGCAGGTGGCCTCCTTTGCATTTGGAACACCCAAAATTTTCAATTGATAGAATGCTGCAGTTCCAGGAACTTCATTCTTCTCTCAGGTATCTTATCTAAATCATTTCATTGTGTTCTTTGCAATATTTATGCCCCGATTGATGCATTGAAGAGGAGGAAACTTTGGGAGAGTCTTGTAAAACTTAAACTCTCTTATCCTAACCCTTGGTGTCTGGGTGGTGATTTTAATGAGATTAGAGTTATGAGTGAGAGGAAAGGTTGCTCAAGAAGGGAAAGGGGTATGAAAGACTTTAATAATTTTATAGAGAGCTTGGAATTAATTGATCTGAATATGCATGGTAGATTATTCACATGCTGTAATGCATTGGATGGGGAGAGGTGGAGTAGGATTGATAGGTTTTTGCTTGATCCTGTTTGGCTGGAGAGGTATAAATTTAAACAATGGGGATTGCCTAGAGTCATTTCAGATCACTGTCCAGTTTTGCTTATGGAGGATGGAAGGGATTGGGGGCCAAAACCTTTTCGGTTTATCAATGCTTGGACATCACATCCTCAGTTTAAGAAGGAAGTGGAGAAGGTCTGGGAGGAGGCACAGATTCAGGGATGGGCCAGTTTTACAATCATGATTAAGCTTAAAAGACTGAGAACATATCTGCGTAGGTGGAATATGGAGGTCTTTGGTAATATTGATGATCTACTTAAACAAGCTGAAGATGAACTTCATGAGTGGGACTTGAAGGCGGAATCTAGATCCTTGTTGGAATCAGAGGTGAGTAGAAGAAGTGAGATCAGAAGTCAAGTTTGGCAGCTAAGTAGAAGTAAGGAGAGGATGTGGTCACAAAAATCTAGAATGTCATGGGCACAAAATGGGGATAAAAATACTAGACTATTTCACTTGATGGCAAGTAACAGGCAGAGGAAAAATTTATTGGACTCCGTTCAGGTAAATGGTGTTGTGGTGGAAGACCCAAGCATAGTGAAGCAAGTAGTGGAGAATTTTCTTAGAAGGGTCTTTGCTGAAAGCTGGGAGAGTATGCCTAAGTTGGCAGGGTCCTTTTTGTCCATTACTGATGTTGATTCAAAGGAAGTGCTGGAGGCTAATTTTAGTGAAGCAGAAATCTGGGCAGCCATTCAAGATTGTGATGGGAATAAAGCTCCTGGACCTGATGGCTTCAATCTGTATTGCATTCAAAAGTGCTGGTCTATAATGAAAGGTGATTTCATGCAGTTGTTCCAAGAGTTTCATCAAAATGGGAAGTTGGCTAAAGGGGTAAACAGCTCTTTCATTACCTTGATTCCTAAAAACAAGAACCCAATAGACTTGAGTGATTTTAGGCCTATAAGTTTGGTTAGCTCAATTTATTAAGTGTTGGCTAAAGTGTTGTCCAGAAGAATAAGACAAGTACTCACAAAACTCATAGGAGAGGTTCAAACTGCTTTTCTTTCGGGTAGATGCATCCTTGATGGGCTCTTAATTGCTAATGAAGTGGTGGATTGGTGGAGAAAGTCCAAGAAAAAAGGAATCATTCTTAAATTGGACTTTGAGAAGGCCTATGATTCAGTTAACTGGGAGTTTTTGTTGTCAATGATGGAAAATTTTGGGTTTGGAGATAAATGGGTGGGTTGGATTAGGTCTTGTATTTCTATGTCAAGGATCTCAGTGCTTGTAAATGGGTCACCCACAGCAGAGTTCTCTCCTCAGAGGGGTTTAAGGCAAGGAGATCCACTATTGCCTTTCCTTTTTACTATAGTTGCAGAAGGTCTAAATATTCTGTTAGAGAGAGCCAAAGAAAAGGGGATGATCAGAGGAGCTTCAGTTGGTCATCAAGAATTGATAATCTCTCATTTACAATTTGCAGATGACACTATTATTTTTTGTGAAGCCAATTGGGATGAAATCAGGGTGCTTAAAAGAATTTTGAGGTGTTTTGAAGTCATGTCCGGCCTCAAGATTAATTTTCATAAAAGTATTGTTTGTGGAATTGGAGTGGAAGAGGAGTTAGTTAAGGAGTTTGCTAACAACCTGAATTGCCTCAGCCAGAGTCTACCTTTGTCATATCTTGGTTTACCTTTAGGGGCCAACCCAAGGAAAAAAGTACTTCGAAACCAGTGGTGGAGAAGTTTAAAAAGAAATTAGCATCTTGGAAGAGGAGATTCTTGTCCTTTGCCGGTAGAGTGACCCTAATTAAGTCTGGATTGTCAAATCTTCCAGTGTATTTTCTATCTATCTTCAAATTGCCTATTGGTGTTGCTAAAACAATTGATAGGATTCAATCAAACTTCTTGTGGGGTGGTTCGGAAGTTCAAAGGAAAATTCACTTAGTCCAATGGAAAGAGGTGTGTAAAAGTAAAGCCCAAGGGGGGTTGGGTGTGAGAAGTCTCAGTGATGTTAACGTCTGTTTAATGTTAAAATGGTGGTGGAGGTATGGTCATCAACAACAGTCACTATGGAAAATGGTGGTATGTAGCAGATATGGTGGGATTGGGGGAAGGTGGAAACCAGAAACAGTGTCAGCTGCAATGGTATCTACAGTGTGGAAGGACATTGCATCATTAGCTTCAGCAAATAGTGTAGTGGCAGAGTTTTTCTCACAAAACTTCAGGATTATTTTGGGAAATGGGGAAAGAATTCATTTTTGGACGGATAGATGGTTCAATGATATGAGTCTTAGGAGTGAATTTCCTAGACTATTTAGTTTATCAGTGGAGAAGGAAGGTTCCTTGCAATTTTTTTACCAACGGAAAGGGCCGGGCAGTGATTGGAAGTTGGCATTTAGAAGATCACTTTTAGCTTGGGAGGAGGAGGAAGTTCATAGGCTAAATGTATTACTAGCAGAGGTACCTAATCTAAATCCTCTAACTGAGGATTACTGTTTGTGGAGAGCAAGTAATTCTAGAGTATTCTTTGTGGCATCAGTGTGGAAAAGGTTGGAATTAGTTAATGGACCCACAGTTTCCATTTCAAAGTTCCTGTGGAAAAATGCAGCCCCCCCGAAGGCTCAGTTCTTCGGCTGGTTAGCTTGGAAAGGGAGACTTAAAACAGCAGAATTCATGCAAAGGATTGGAGCTATACCTGCCAATGTCAGCCCACTATGTGTATTTTGCAAAGCAGAGGTAGAAACCATAAATCATGTGTTGCTTTTATGCCCATTGGTATGGAAGTTATGGTCTGAGTTGGTAAACTGGTGGGAAGTGCAGTGGGTAACACCAGGATCTGTGTTATTTTGCTTGACTGGTGGTCTGGTATGAAATTCAGGAAGAAGTAGTTCAACATTTGGAAGGTGGTCCCTTTGGCCATGCTTTGGTCATTATGGAAACTTAGGAATGAATGCTTATTTAACAATGGTAATGCAGATTTTGCACAGATAGTGGAGCTAATGAAAGTAAGAATTGCATTATGGATCAAGTTATATGTTAAAGGGGTGAATTACACTATGCATGATATTGTCGCAAATTTGAAGCAGGTGAGAGGTTGTATCACGTAGGTTTTGCTTGTTCTGTCATTATGCAGAGTGGTAGCAGTGTGGGAAGTAGCAGATTTGTTTGTAGAAGTCTGGTCTGAAGCTCTCTCTCTGGTTCCAGTGAAGCTCCTGTAAGTGAAGCTTCTGTCATTATGCAGATTGCTAGCAGATGGGTTTTGAAGCAAATTGGTATGTATGCAGATTGGTTGCAGAGTGGTAGGTACCAGCTTCTGGTCTGTGAAGGCAGTGCAGAGGCCTGCTTGGTTCTGGTCTGTGAAGGCAGTGCATTTGCCCTCTGTTAGCAAAGGTGTTCTGGGCATTGGTTTGAATTGTTGTGTTGATCTATGGGATGCCCTGATGCTGATCTTCTTGCCTCACTGATGGTATGATTCTTGTTAGGGTGTGTGGTCTGCTGTCGGGATGCTCCAGCAGTCTTTGTTTTGTTTTGTTTTTTGGCTGGTTGGTAGTATTTTTATCTGTTGGCTTTGGCATGTTTTTGATTTCGGTTGTATTGTGGTTTGGGTTTGTTGATTGTGGTTGGTTACTCACCAACTCACCATCATTCCCCTTTCCCTTCCCCCTCCCCTTCTTATTTATTGATGTATTTCTTTATTCGGTCTTCATCAATAAAGCTTCCTTTTCTTCGCTGATCAAAAAAAAATAATCAAAGGTGACAAAGCTACTATGCTCAGATCTCATTGACTATCGGTTAATATAATATACATAATACATGTTTGATATGGGAATAGTTGAAATTTTTGCTACACATGAAAAACGTGTTAAGAATTTGACAGTTGATAGACCCATGAAATTATACACTACTGAAAATTTAAAATTAACTGACCCAAAAAATAATGTAATTATTATCAAGTTATAATTGATAAAAACTTCACACCAATGGGGCCATATATTTTCTGGTGTAAGATTAATATTTTTGATGATAAGGATATATGTTGAAAATTTGTTAAAAAGTCATCGGTAGTTGACGAATGGCAATCAACGGTGGCCAGCAACGGTGACTGGTGAAGGTGCGATGGACAAATAGATGACATTGCATAGATGTATGAATAGATAAATAATGCATGTATAAATAAGTGATATTTGGATATATAGTTTGATAAATAGGTAATAAGTGACATTTGAATAAATAAATAAATAAACTTTAGACATAAAGGTGTCAATTTTAGATATATCAATATTTTTTTGGCTCAAAAAATTTTAAGCTTAGACCTTTGTCAAAAATTTTAAAATGAATCTCTAGCCTAATGCTCATTCCAATGACGCAAATAGTTACCTTAATATTTAAAAATTATAAAAATCTATTTATAACATAGAAGATCAAGGTTTATTAGTTACAGTTAAGTCCCATACAAGAGCACATTACTAGTTTAAAGACCACCGTCTGTTTTATGACCCATACAGTCCTTTTTCAAGTTACTGTACGGATAATTTCTATTTACACCACAAATCCAACTATTTACATCCTCAACAATTCAAATTTTTTACTTTATCTTTTACAATTTTTATAATTTTATTCCTATCATTATCTCTAGCATTCACTCTTCTCCTAAAACCTAAAAATCTTAATTCCTTCCACCATCTCCTCCGGCCACTATTCCGCCACCCCTTGCCTCTACAGTCACCATTCCATCCACTGTTTCACTGCCATGAACATCACCATCATCACGACCACCACGTTCACAACTCCCTACCACCTCAAGAACCACTCCTTCAGTTATCCCACCTAGGGGTGTATGCAGTTCAGTTCGGTGCGGTTTGAGGCTAAAAGAGAAACTATGTGGCAGGTGGCGGTTTGCAAATAATCAAATTACGGGTTGAGTAGTTTGGAGTAGTTTCAATTTGCAAGTTGGCTGAAAAATATTCTTAAACAATTATCAAACATTTGCATAATATATTATACTAATTTGCATAATATTTTTCATATATATAATACAAACTAATTTTACATAATTTTTAGCGATTCTGATTTAGAACCCGACCCATTTGATGTTTTGGATCCGGGTTTTATTGTCTTAGACAGTTGTTCATGTCTTGTTTCCTATTACTTCTCTTTGAGTTTGACTATTGGGACGTGTTGGTTACGTTTGGAACAGGTTGGTAGCTTGTTTTTCAAATAGTTGTTGCCCAGAATTTTGTTCCTTCGCTCAAGCAACACTTCTTGCGCTCAAGTGGTCTTTGTGAACCTCCAATACTTTTGCAGGTTTGTAAAAATACTAGAAGTTTGTATTCTTCACTCGAGTGAAGCTTCTTGCGCTCAAGCGACGGTCTTCTATCTATAAAACTACTGGGAGTTTGTATTCTGCGCTCAAGTGAAGCTACTTGCGCTCGAGCGACACATCTTGCGATCGAGCGAGCTACACATAGATCAGTTCGTAAAGTCACTTTTCTGAGTCACTTTTCACCTCTCTCTCTCTAAAAATTTCAAAACCCTAATTTCTCTCTCTCTATCTCTCTAAAACTCATTTATTTCACTCAAATCCACTTAGATCTGTCGATCTTTTCACCCGTGCCCCTTTGTTAAAAAGGTAGAGCTTGGAGAAATGGAACATTGTCGAAATATGGAATTGAATTTCCTTTTGGTTACTGATTTTCATTAAATCTCAATTTATGCATTGAATGAATCTTAGTGTCACGACCCAAACCCGCCCCTATAGGTTTAGTGTTGTAACCGGCCAATAATCCTTATATTATTGAAAGCCTCTAAAACATAATCACAATATAAGGGGACATTGGAAGCAAATATACAAACATACATTGTCCATAGAGATGTGCAGACTTATATGTGATAGAAAATTTCAAACTTTTACATACATACATTCACATCATCTTCTTACGTCATCATATTACAGATAAAACCAAAACGAGACTTTGCCCCATTTACAAAGGCAAAACTTGTTCAAATTAACAAAAGAAAACAAAAGCTTATATCATAATCTCAAAGCCTGAACCACTTGCTGTATCTAGAACCTCCACGGGAGGCGCATAGGTTATGTGACAAAAACAGAAAACAAACAGAAGACCTCAGGCTTGGTCTTGCGCTCGACCACCTACATCCATATTTATAAAAACAGTGAGCTAACGTCTATTGAATAACATTAAGGTAAAGAAGTTAGTGAATGAATTCCGAACATTTCATAAACATAAAACAGAGCATATCATAATCATCCTTATATTTGAACATAATAATAGTACATCCAACAGAATGTAACATATCGTCTTTCGACTAGAGTAATCGGTTTCGGACATCGATTATCAAACATAACACCACTTCGTCAAGTGGCTAGCAAGATCTCGTAATCACAAATATGTCATGGACCCGCATCAACATGTTGTCCCCCATGACTTAGGACTTTCTTTGGATGCCATAGTAGATTCAAAATTAGGACATTCGTTCACTCAGATAAAATATCATTTTAGAAATCATAACTTATCACGTAACATTTCGAATATAATTCATATGAATATATCTTCACAATAATCTTACTCACTATAGGCTTCCAGAGACAGTTGATCGGTCTTCAGATTTGACCTACAATTACAAATGTATATAACACAAAACATATCTTATCATTACATATTCGTATGGCCAATATGGCATAGCTTTCTGTACATTAACGTCCTATTCGTTCCAGTTCACATAGCGTACTTACAGTGAACCACATATTCGGATCAAACGATTTGTCTTATCTTGTCTAATTCAATTATTTATGTTGATTCTTTATTTATTACTCCTCAATGATTCATAATTCATGCCTAAACATGCTAAGAAGAGGATGAGAACGAAAATATATACACAAAAAGTCTTTCAAAAAAAATGCTGAAAACAGAGTCTTCGCTCAAGCCAACTATTGGTCGCTCTAGCAGTCACAGAAAACTGCAAAAGTACTGGATGAATGTAATGTGCACTCAAGCCAACTATTTGTCCCTTGAGCAGATGCAAAACATATAGTCAGTTCGCTCGAGCCAACTTTTGGTCGCTCGAGCCAACTTATGCAGACTGCAAAACTTACGGGAACTCGATATGCTCGCTTAAGCCACCACTTGGTCGCTTAAGCGGTCTACAAATTTTTCTAGGTTTTCCAGAACTTTTTTGAAGATCAAAACACACACTCAAAGCCCAAAACTCATTCATGGCTTGTCCAAAACTTGGAAAAATGTTAAAAAAAAAAAAAAAAAAAAAAAAAAAAAAAAAAAAAAAAACTCATATACATTCCCTTTCATAAATCATTTGTTAAAAATCTCATGAATTTACCAAAATTGAGTTCAAACCTTTGTGCATGTGAGGATTTATAAACTCCTTTCTCCAACTCCATGGTTTTGAGCAAAATTGAGCTCAAAAAGTTCCATGCACGCAAGAAACTCCTTTTTAAAACATGAATTTAAGAGGTAAAACATGATGATTCAAACATGTATGTGTCAATTTACTCACAGTTTCAACATGAGTCATCAAAACCAACTCAAAGATGTTAAGGCATAACAAAATCATGCATGCATGTAAGACTTCAACTCTATCTTGACTTGCTATAACAAAATTTATGTAAAAGACCATGTATAATCGAAGAATTCAACTCTAAAACACATAATCTTCAACAAGTGAGGGTCAAATTCATACCTAGAGCCTTGAATTACTCTTGTTCTAGCATGATCTTGATGAACTCTAGCCAAAACCTTCAAATTTCCCTTTAATCTCTCCCTTTCTCTCTCTAGAATGGGAGTTCACTCTCTTTCTCCCTAGAGTTCTCTACAAATTTTTGCACTCAATAATATGGAGGAGGATGAGCTCAAATGAGCTAATGGCTCATATATATATATAGTTGTGATGTATTAACACATTAATTAGAACGTTAGGCCAATTAAACACAACTTAATTAATTAAACTGAATCAATTTTTTGATTAAACTCACCCAAGTGTTCTAAAAATTCCAAATAACTTACTCATGTAACCAATTTCCGTTTCGGATGCCGATAAGGCCTTCAATTTCTATTTCAAATCAGAATTTCAGATAGATATTCATACAACAGACAGAAAGAAACACAAATACACATAAGATGCACAATTGTCACAAAATTTCACTCAACCACCTTATTAGCATTCTTAATTACGGATTAGTGGCTAATCACAGAGTAAGGTTGTTACACTTAGGTAAATTGAATTGTTTATAAATTCATGCATCACTTTTCATCATCTTGTGCTATGAACTCTATAATCTTTTGGAAGCTTGAAAATGTTGAAATGGGGTAAATAGCG